TCCGAAAATGGGCTCAATCGGATAAAAGGTGAATTAGTTATGAATTTTTAGTGCGTAAAAACTACACTTTTAACACACTTTTTCACCATATTTCTTCGAGAAAACTCGCACATTCGGAGACATTCTTTAAAGAATATGCTCTCAAGCTGAACCTGAATTTGAGAATAAGTCACCAGGGATATCTTGGCAAAATAACACCTAAATATGACACGTCGGGTTGGACTTGTGAATCTTTGAACCCTGAATCATTGCGAAACGGTGAATCGATCTTCAACACATAAAATACTCTAAAAACATCCATTGACGAAATAAACGTCACTTGTAACGTGACGAGGCTTGCTAGAGATACCTTGATCCCATAACCCTAGAACCAATGATATCCATGTATGTAATGATGAAATATAAGCCAACAAGGTCAAAATAAAGAGGATAAATTTTGGTGTACAACAGCTGCCCCTGTTCAATCTTCTTAAACCTGAAGAGTTAGATCGGCATGTCCGCCATTTTTGACTTGAAGGTAGAAGATGATTGAACACTTAAGTGCCCATAAATTTTCACTCGCATGTGCAGGAGATAACGTTGTTGGTTGATTGTATCGGGAATGGGCTTAAAGATGCCATTTGAAGAGTGACAGGATGTCGTCGGAGATGGGCTTATAGATGACATCCAAAGTAATCATTGATATAAGTATAATAATGAGTCTATGCTTGACTATATCCGAGGAATATGTATTTGAAATGAGTCTACGTCCGACTTTGTCCAAAAGAGTTTCAGAAGGAATCTACGCTTGATTTCACCTGAACTAGAAGATGCCTATGCTCGACTTCAACTATAAGAGGTATTGGAAGGAGTCTACTCCTGACTTTCCCAAAAAAGTATCAGAAGGAAATCTACGTCTGATTTCATTTGAACTAGAATATGTATATGCCCGACTTCAACTAGAAGATGTATTGAAAGGAGTCTACGCCGACTTTTTTCCAAAAGAGTTTCAGACGGAATCTACACTTGATTTCATCTGAATGATGCAATAGAAGATGTATAAGCCCGACTTTAACTAGAAAATATGTTAGAAGGAGTCTACGACCTACTTTTTTCCAAAGGATTTTCAGAAGGAATCTACGCTTGGTTTCATCTGAATGATATGCTGGAATGAGCTCGTGTCAAGCCGCGTCCAAAAATGTATTAGAAGGAAACCGTGTAAGACTGCTTTAGGATGAGCCTGTGTTAGACTACACCTAGAAATGTATTTAGAAGGAGCCTGGGTAGGGCTGCTTCAGGATGAGCCCGTGTGAAGCTGCATCTGGAAATATATGAGAAGGAGCCTGGGTAGGGCTGCTTTAGGATGAGCCTGTGTAAAGCTTCTTTTGGAAATTTCATAAGGAACCCGTGTAAGATTGCTTCAGGATGAGCCCGTGTGAAGATGCATCTGGAAATATATTAGAAGGAACCTGTGTAAGATTGCTTCAGGATGAGCCCGTGTGAAGCTGCATCTGGAAGTTTTTAGAAGTAACCTGTGTAAAGCTGCTTCAGGATGAGCCTGTGTGAAGATGCATCTGGAAATATATTAGAAGGATCCTGTGTAAGGCTTCTTCGTCTGGTCTTGTAGATAGTCACCCACTCTTGTTTCAGGAATTCACACCGTCTGGTCATATAGATAGTTGCCCCGTCCTGTTTCAGGAATTAATCTGTGACCTGTTTGAAAGTTGCCGATGATATTCGTCTGTTTGCAAACTTTACCTAAAAAGACAAAATTAGCTTTATGCAATGTCATGATGTATGTAATGCATTGCATGATGATGCTCTCAAAATAAATGAGAACGTTATATGCGTTTATATGCATGTGTTATGATATTTTGTAAATGGTGTTATGGATGGAATATGTCGTTAGAGCGTATTGGTAGCTTCTTGCAGCAATGTCTAGCTGGAGAAAATAAATCTCGGACTGTTGCTGGAGATGAAGAAAGTGATTCTTCAATTTCTGCTGGGAATAATTTTGTTGGGGATTCCCACTTTCAGTTTGAGGATAATCCGCTGGGCATCTTTGACTTCTGCTTGAGGATAGAAGCATTCAAGGAGAGTCTGTCGTTTGTCATTCTTTTTGTTGAAGGAATTAATTTTTGTATACCCTAACTAGGGATGAAGAGATGGACAATTCTTCTGATGTGCTATCTGACCAGGTTTCATAAATGAGTAGCAGTTCTCTGGGGATGATAACTTTGAATGAACCCTGTTGGAGATAGAGAATTCCGTCGGGGAATTTGCAGTATTGGAGAAATGAACTCCGATTGGGAATTTGATTTTGTATACTGTGTTGAGGAAATAAAATATGATTATAGATTCATAGGCCATGCTAAGGAAGTTTTCGCTATTTGCTGGGGAAGTAACTAGACTTCCACATTTGTCGGGGGACCTCTTGGGGAGGATGCTTCTGTTAAACTATCCATCCGAGGTATGAAGATGAATTGCTGGAAGTTGCCTCAGTTTCTGTCTGACTTGTATAGTAGACTTGATGGGGAATATATCTCTGTTGAGGGTGAGGTTGTGAATATAGCTCTATAGAGATAGTTCCACGGAGATTGCTCTGTGGGGATTTGTGGATAATTTGAATATTATCTCCACTCCTAGAGTAGTTAGTAAATGCTGATTAGAATGATAACTCTTCTACTGACATGCAAGTGATGAGATAATGGGACATAGTCATACGCTTTAATCCTTAACTTTTACCGGGATTGTCCTTTCAGATTTTCAATCCACCGGGATACCTTTTTTTGCCCAAGCTGCATTTTCAGGTTTTCGACTTGTCGGGTGTAGAATTTTATTTATATATCCCTAATTTTTCTCAAACTCTTTTAGTTCACCGAGATGCCCTTATTTTTGCCTAGGCTTGTCAACTTAGCGGGTCTCTTTTGCATGCGTAGTATTTTCTGATTATGTCCGCGTTCACATGTGTTGCACCCCAAAATTTGCCCTCCTAATTGCACTTTTATGCTGGCTTAGACTTTTGCATTCATCTGTATCATTCCAATGGGTCATGTGCATAACACGCATTTTTCATAAAATAGATCGCCTGAGGTTCAAAAGATCAGCAGTTAGGGAGCTAGGGTTTACAGATGATTTGAGGTGTATGTGTTGAATAAGTTTGAGTATCCAGGGTCTTCTCGATGTACAAGGTTTTGGAATTAAGGTTTTGGTTCAGGCTCATTTTTGGACTTCTTCTCCACCAAGTTATATGGCTAATATCTTCTGATGAACAACTGGTTGTAGGTCATTCTAGTCAAGAACTCCAGGGCATGACCTAGCACACGTGGGCTTCGAATCACGGCGTCTCTTCATATAAGTATGCTTATCATTTGACTAGGATTAATGACTATGACACGACATTCATCTACTCTTAAGTTAATCAATTTAGGTTTTGTTCAATCATGGTTCAAAGATGTCTCATCCGGATATTCCTCTGTGCATCTAAACCGAGGAATCAAGATTGTGAGGTGTGGTTAACAAGATTTATTTCTCTTTAAGATATAATTGTTTTTATCCAGTCTTGGCAAGTGCTAGGGTTTTCATTTGTGCGACTAGGGTTTCACGTCAAGGGAATTCTTATGTGATTCAGACTTTATCATCCATCTGTAAGATGTTCCTTATGACACTAATTTCAAGTTGAAATAACCGATCGCTAAGGGCTGGGGATTAAATTGTGAAGCGTGGTTCATGACCTAAGATATGAATTCGTGGACTTCTCCTTAACCAAGGCAATTATTGTCCTCATCATTGTCATTTGTTATCTGCGATGCGAGTAGATTTGGATTGAAGTAGGATTCTCGTGGAAGAATTCATGCAAAGTAATTCAAGGTTCAAGGCATTCAAGGCAGGGTTTTGTTCAACATGGCATACCTGGTTGATGGGCTTACAAGCTCTTATGAGACCTTGAGATGCATAATCATGGGCCAAGTTCAAAGATATGTGGATAAGATCTTTTGACTTCGATTAAAGTAAGCTTTGAACAATTAACTTTTGGACCAAGGTCTCCCTCGAACTTTCATCTAATATGTGTTAGGCATTCAAGTTGCTTTTGAAGAATGGTATGGAAAAAGGAAAAGAAATATTGGTTCAGAAAAGGAAATTTCATTAAAAATCAGGGTTTCTATTCGTTGATAAACGTTCAATCATGTGGGCTATGAATTCAGTGTTACCAAGCGATCAATTGGTATGATTTAAGATTTTGGTCCATGGATTCTCTATGGCATCAAAATTGATTCGTCAAGGATCAATACAAGGGGTGCATTAAGATTTCTTGAGGATCCATATTTCGTCAATTCAAAGAGGTGTCTTTGGCTTGGAGTGCAAGGTGTGGACAATATGAACTTCAACATTGAATCCGATTTTTCTATGAAATTCAAGCACGATGTGGCATTTGATTAAGGTCCAAGTATTGATTCAAGATCTTGTTTTGAGTTATAAGGCAAGCGTCATGGTTAGTGCGAGTATTGGATTCATTTTCATTTTGATAACATATAGCCAGGATTTTGATTGACAATATTATTTCAAGCATGTAATTGGAGTTCAACTATAGTGGAACTATGAAAGGTACATAACTTGATTCAAACATCATGGAATTCATCGTTCAAGTATTGATCCGAGTCCATTCAAATAATCAAACATCATTTAGGGTTCTAAACAAGGTTCTTCAAATCCCATTCAAAATACATATGAATCCATTCAAGTGCATTTTGTCACGCAAGTTCAAATACAAGTTCAAGGCGTCATGTAGCTTATTACAAATTCATGCTTAAACCAACTTCTTATCATTCAAGACTTGAAATAGTTTAAAGATTGGAATAGAAAAGAAGACTAGAAAGTCAAGATGTAACGAATTTGCTTACACGGTTTATCCTATTATAATTTACAAGTACATGGTGCCATTACATGCTTGAAGTATACAAAAAGAAGTAATTACAGGGAATTTGGTTCTATGTTTCTAAGCCTAAAGCTCTAAATTCTTAATGCCAAAACTCCATGCTTCCACCGAAATGCGCATCTACTGCTTCATACCAGTCTTATCAGCATGCCTTGGCTTCAATGGAAGGAAGCTCGAGGGCCTGAATGTGCTCGGGATTCTTCCTGCGACCAAATCCTGGCCCTACATTACTAGTTCAGCCTTGCATTACCAGTTCAGTCCTGCATTACCAGAAAAACAATGGCCCTGCGTTACCAGTTCAAGCCCTGTATTAAATTAATAAAACCAAACAGAAAAAAAAACTAACTGAAAACTCAAACTGAATTTCTAACAGTTTTAGCCAGCTTTTAATTTTCTCTTCATAACCAAACACCAAACTAACTCTCACTGTATAACATGTTTCTAACCAAAACCAAAACAAAAGATAACTAATTCCCTTACCAGCTTAACCATAATCTACAACAACCCTCTAACTGCCAAAAAACAGAATTCTAACAGAATTTCTAAACTCGCAACATTTAACTAAATCAAAAACAGAATTTCATAAATATCAAAAGCAAACAGTCCAACTAACTACCAACCCGCAACAAAACCAACTTCTAAACTTGATTTTCTAACCAACTAAAGCTAGCCGATTTTTTCTATTTTCTAACAGCTATAACAAATTCCAACTGAATTTAACCGCATCCCCTAACAGAAAAACCAAAACAGAATTATCTAACATTTTTTCCCCAAAACAGAAGCATAATAGAACTAGCAGCAGCCCATAACAGAATTTCAATCCAACTGACTTGTAACCGATTGGCAATTAACTTTCTAACAGAAACCTAACAAACTTTTTCCATCAAACCATATATCCACAAAACTTAGAATCGATAAATCATTCATTCACTACCATATAACAGATTTGCTAACAAAAAAGAAAAAGGGGGATTCATTCCTAAAAAAACCAGAGAAAATCAGCAGAACTCACCTTGCAATTCTCTCTCCATAACCTATTCAGCACTTATATTATCAACAAAGCCTCAACACTCTCTCTTCTATCTCCAACCTTCACACTTCGACATCATCTTTATCTTCAACCTTCTTCAACTTCCATCAACAATTTCAACACTCTGAGTTTTTCTACAACATCCCATCGATCTTCATCTGAAGATTTCTCTGAAATTCATCTCTCTTCTTCCTTGACCTTCATTATCACTCACAGAGGAGAACCAGGAAAAAGAGGGATTCATTAACAGAATTAAACCAGAAGAAAACTACAAAGAAAAATGAGAAAGCTCACCTTCTGGTTCTCCCGGAAACTAGATAATTATCAGCTTCAACCCTCTTTCTTTTTCACCTCCAGTCCTCTCTCTCAGAACCTTTTCAACGCCTTCAATCTCTGAACTCTCTTCCATCTTCATCATCAACAACACTCATTCTTTCATCTTCAACAATCTTCATCTCACAACCTTGACACTCTAACCCCTACATCAATCCTACATCACCTTCTGCAATCAATCTGTAACCTGTCTCCGCAAACAATAACAAATCAGCTTCATCGTCATCATTATCGTATCGTTACACAATTGATGCACATTTTCGCAAGATTACAAAAGGAAAAAGATAACAGATAAAAGAGGAGAGGGCTAACAGAAAATGAGAGAAAATGAGATGAAAGAAACTCACCATTTTTATGAATCTTTTTCCTCTCTGACTTCACGTTCCTCCTTTCAATCTGCATCTTTGGCTGCTTTGAGGCTTCATCACGTATCATCATCTTCATCCTCTCCACATATTCTCCATCAAATCTTCGATTCATTTGCAATCGTCATCATCGCAAATCCGCAACATTCAACATCCTTCGTTCAAACTGCGACGAATCGAAAACAACGTACATCATCACGGTGAAATGGACATCGCACAAGCGGAGAGTTCAAAGAGTAAAAGAAGAGTAGAAGAAGAGAGAATAGGAAAACATGAAGAAGAAGATTCGAGCAGAAACAAGAGGTTGGTGTGTATAACTGAAACCCCGAGGAATTGGGATCAGAAGCTCACTTTGTTAATTTAGAATGGAACACATGAAATTGGACAAAATGAAAGAGATATCGTGAAGGAGGGTGTTTGGGCGAGTTAAATGGCAGTGGAGAATAATGGTTCGACATCTGATGGATCTTACTACGACAACCGTTTTCAGAGGAAGAAGAACTGAATTTGAATGAGGGAAGATGAGAACAGAATTAGGTTTGAAAGGATGTAAGCAGTCACAATCCTTGTGCAATACGACGTCGTTCACCCTTTATCCTTTCATTTTTTATTTCTTTTAATATGAATAATTGGAAATTGAATATTAAATCTCATGGTGTTGTGTTGTTTGGACCAAGATCCGTTGGGCTTGCTACCTGCACTCCCTCGTAGGCCCAAAGAATTTTTTTTTGTAATAGGAAAATGGCTTTACCAAAAAAAGGGAGAGCTTCATGGATTGGGCCTAGCACCAAAGTCCTGAATTACTGAGCTTACCACCCGAATTCCAGCATACACCCCCTCTATATCAATTTTAGCTTCACCTTCTTATGATTTTCATGATAAAAATGATATACAAAAATAGTAGCATATTTTTAGAATTCTCTAGAACTTTTCTTTATAATTTTATTAAAATTTTCTATTATTTTATGTTTAACAATCGTTTTCATTATCATTTTTTTAGTAAAAATTTTGTGATAGAATGTTGATAGAACTTTCGCGATATGGAATGCTTGGAGGCTAATTCTTTGATTATTCATGCGGAGCAACTTCCGTAGAGTTTTCTTATCACTAGCGTGGCTTTGAAGAGGCAGCGGACCTTCTCCGTTTGGTATCATCGCGACCTCAATTTATCCCTCATTTCCGCACTTTATCACATTTCTTTACCGCTTTCTAGAGATCATGAGAAGTAGGGGCTTTACCGCAAACCATATGCATGCTAACATTAGGTAGATGTTTCCCTTTCATTCATACTTGACTTAGGTCTAACAACGCATGATAAAATTAGGTTTAGAAATAGGCTAGTTTTCCCGTGACTTTTCTTCCTCGTTTGCATTCACACTAAAACAAAAAAAAAACTTCTTTTTCTTTCAAAATTCAAGACACTTTAAAACTACTGATGAGGATCACGCCTTTGCTTAGTATGGCAAATGATAAGTGGGTTTCTTCTCGATCTTATTACTCTTCATCACAAGTATATGTGTGGTTCAATTCTCAAAGACTCATTTCACAGATAAGTAGATAAATGGCTAACATCTCTCTCTTGAGGTCAACTAGCTATTATCTACAAGCAAAAACATCAACAAATATAAACTCTTTTTTCCTTCGGGCCTTTCTTTCAAAACCTTTTCAAAAGAACATGTTAATTCACTTCTGTGCTGATGCGTAAGTCTCCAAAGGTCGAGTTGCGGCAGAAGGCGAAATTAATATCATTCATTATAAACACAAACAAAATTTAAACTTTTTGTGCGCCCAAGCACATTTTCTCCAAATCTTTTTCAAGAGAGCATGTTAATTCACTTTTGTGCTGACACGTAAGTCTCCGAAGGTCGAGTTGTGGCAAAAGGCGAAATTAATATTGTTCATTAAAAAAATACAAACCAATAAAAACATATGAGCCGAACTACGGCTGCTCTGATTCCTTAAAAGGGATACGTAGGCATCGGGGTAGGGCCCGAACGAGCACAATTTTATTTTCCCTACATTCTTTTCCCCTTTCTTTTGCATGCATTCTCCCCTAAGCAATAATAAACAGTAAGCATAGATTAAACACACCCATAAGATAGATAACAAGAGTGGATACCGTAGAGTACTACGGGTGCATGGGGTGCTAATACCTTTCCCTTGCGTAACAGACTCCCTTACTCAATCTCTCGGTCGCAAGACTGTGACTTCTCCCTTCTCAGGTTTTATCGATGTTTACCTTTCCCTACATGTGAGATAAAAGACTTTCGATGGCGACTTCATTGTTTGATGATTTTCAGCCGGTTGTTTCAGCTGGCGACTTCACCGGGGAAAGGTCGACCAAATGCTGGTCCATCCCGGAGTCGCTCCTAGCTCTTGTTTTATTTTCTTTGGGTGTTTATTTTTATGCTTTCAGTTTGCTCATTTGTACATCTTTATCTGAGCATAAGTTTGCATTGCATTTTATTTCTTTCCATATTGGTTATCTGCTGTATTGGATTCTGGTTTTCCATGTCGGGTGGGCGTTACTATTGAGGTAAAAGGCCCGGTACCCAGGCCAGAGTGCACTAGGACACTAGGAATAGAGTGGGGGTATGAAGGCTATAGGACATGGTCCGATTAGTGCAGTCATGTCATATACCACGCTCAGATGAGGTTCAAATGAATTACTATCGGCACCCACGTCTGTGGGTAAGCCCATAGCACTTTCAGGCGGACCCGTGATTTTCGAGTTACCATTGTCCTACCCTGACCTAGCCTTCACCCGTGAGTTGGGAGGGAATTATTATTACAGGTACAGTTGGTGACTATGTTCAAATGGTTACTCATGTTCAGATAGTGACTATGATCAGACGGTGGTTATTGGTTCTAATGATTATGTTCTGGATTTCTGCTGGTGACTTACTCAGGTGCTATATTCTATTGGTGACTAGATGGTTCTCAGATTTATTTTCTGAGTTCCTGACTTATTTACTTGGAGGATCATTCGAGCCTTCGATCTTGGCATTCCCAGCATATTCATAAAATGCTCAACAGTATCCGATGTTCCAGAAGCCTTGACCCTGTACAATGGGAGATCTACATGGTACTTGGTTCTTATATGAGCGGAAGCTATGTCGGACCTCTAATCTAGGTGATATTCATATGATTCAGAATAACGCAACAATCATATTCAGAAATGATGGAACCTTGATCCCATTTGATCTCATGCCTTTGCATTCATAACATGGTTAACCACATGCTTAACATACATGTTCTATTATTTCCAAGGAATCATATTTGCAAGCCTTGTGTTGAACCTTTCCATCTTTTACTTACGTAAAATCAAAATCAAAGCACGTAAATTCCTTGGGAATGAAGGAACATGACATGGAATCCATTCATGCACTCCATGCATATTCATGCATTCATAACAGGTACTCGAAGATTGGGGATTCTTGCTCAGACCATGTGTTCTCCTCAGAGGTTCAACTTGATTTCTTACTGCACTTGTTCAGGGATCGGTTATGGAATAGCTCTGAGTGATATACATGCAAGCTTTGGCCCGTGGTCAGAAATCTCTTCAAGCAGGAAGATAATTGATTGAAAACT